ATGCCACATAGAATTAAGGCAGTTCTGAAGGCGAAAGGGGGTCAAACACCGTATTAGTATGGTGTTCCTAATAATCCTTTAGGTGAGTGTATCTCACTTTAAAAGTCTAATCTTGACAACTGTCAAAGTCACTAATTTATACCCACAGACACTGGGAATTCATCGAGGGTGCAGTTGAAGGCCAGATCTTGTGACAACCTGATGTTCTTAATCACCACGCTGCAGCATTTATGCACCCAAACGACCCCTAAAACATCTGTGATTTTATTAGCATTTGAAGTGCAGGTTAAGACCAGCAAGAAACAATGATTTTTCCACAATCGAGCCACGTCTCAGGCATGATGATTACCTGCAAGTAACTTTACGCCCGTTATATATTAATATGATTATTTCTGCCATTCTACAAATTTGCCTATAAAAAAACATCATTCCAGAGACACCCGGCTTTCAGGACCATGGAGAGAGACAAGAGCCCTGCAATCGCCGCTAAATCAGATACATTCTTCATCCAGAAAAAGGGCCGATAAGTTTTTAAGTTTAAGGATTTCGGGGGGAAAAAAAGTTAAATATTACACTGAGGGATTAGGTAACAGAAAACCATTTTCACGCATGACTGTATCTCAGGAGCAAGGATTACTGGCATATATCAGTAATACTGCCACTCCAATGGTCTTCATACTTCATTCCTAATCTTATTTAATATCTCCTGCACAGATCTCCCTCGCCGCTCGGCATATAAAGCGCCGCTTATCTGCAGTATTTCCACACCTCCTGACAGGCAGGTTAGACGCTGTTTGATGACCGCATGAAACAATCAGTAGCGAAACGAGTCGGTCTGTGGGTATAAATACGAGCGCCGAGGCGGAGACACGGAGCGGGCATGGGCGCCCAGATAACACGGCCGGCAGCGCTCCTCCATCACCGGCTTAATGAAGGCTGCTTCTGTCCGACCACGTATCATTTATTTATATATAAGAGACTGCTGACACTCCTGCTATAAATAAGGCCGACAAACAGGAGAATTATGCGGCTGCTTGCTCGTCAACTGTAACTCCTTGTAGTGAGTATTAACATTTATGGCAGATCGTGAAGTGGAGGTTTGTCAAATTAGAATATGCTACAAAATAGATGAACAGATAAATGAGAGGATCACGCTGGAGAACCAGCACGGGGTGAAATGACAGCCTTTTTCCTATATGCATCCTCCTGAAATGATGCTGACAAACTTTCTCCTTCTTGGGTGACGATAAAGGCGATTTACGGCGAGCCAGGACACACATGGAGTTCATCAATGCTGGCCAGCACCTGCTCTTTATTTAATTAAGTGTTTATCAAAAAGCGAGACTGTTAAAAAAAACGCAATTATTTCGCATATCGCAAGTTTGCTGGTGTAAATAAGAAAAACATCCCAAAGAGCATATATTGTACCCCTACGCACGGCAGTCCTTAGCCTAAGAAAATCCCCTTAAAACCGCAATATGTGCATCTTCTTTCGCAAGAAATCGAAAACCTGACCTACTTTCACAACATATACGTGGATCCAAAAATCGCAGTGCATTACACATAAAGAAGAAAAAAAAAGAAATAAAAAAGTAACGGGAAGAAAAACGCAATGAACTGCAAGAAAGTTTCACGTTAAAATAGCAGCACGGCTTTAAAAATGAGACTCTTTAAGAAGGCGTTCGCAAAATCACAAAACGGATCATCGGCACCACAAGATAGACAGAACAGCAGAGATACAGCAAAAGTCAAGACAACAGAAAATGAAGGAAAAACCTCGCGGAGCGGCAATCCCTTCGTTAAAAGCCGCGATTTAAAGCACAGCATGGGGGAAGAGCGCTAAAGGCATCCGTATCCTCAAACCAGCAAAAGAAGCGAAAATAAAATTAAAAAGAGGTTTAAAAATCACAAAAAAATCCACTGTGAAATGTACTCACCGATCGGGAGTAAAATGTCGCTATAAAAACGAGACAGGGCGGAAAGCACAGTATGGCGGTGGGCAGCGACACGGCTCGGTTCGGTTCGGTCCGGTCCCGGACGTACCGTGTGCCTGGGATCCGAGCCGGCCGACGATCGCGCCCGGGAAGCCCGCTGCAGCCCGGCGAAGTGCACGCCGCGCTCCTACCATCCCACTGTTTTAACGGTGCGCAGTTCATTTCCCTGGGGAGTTTTTTTTAAAGATGCAGTACCCACACCCCTGCCTGACCCAGCAGAACGCCGCTACGATCCGGGCGCTTATTTATCATTTATAGTCAAGAGAAACACAGTAACGCGGTTTAATGTCATAATATAAAACCTCGGAATATTACCCCGGTGTCTGACTCACTGACCTATAATCCAGGAAATACAACACTTTAAAACGCACCAGGCACTGCTGTCATTTGAGAGGAAAAACCTCAACGATCTTATCAAAAAGTTTCTCCTACTCTTACACGCTTATTGCAAGCCATTTAAAGTTTGAGCAAATAATTTTAATTCTCGTTATAAAAAATAACGGTAATTTTATTGAAAAGGGGTAATAAGGATGATGTTTTTCCCGAAATTCCAGCATACAGTAATAAAGCTGATTGGTCGTTTGTAACGTGATTGAATCCCCGCACTTGGGACTCCTATCTCTGTTTTTCTCTTCTCTACTTGCTAATGTGATTCCTGTTCCTGCTGGCCGCTTTACAGACCTTCTACAGGTTCCCACCCTGGATCTGTCCTGGGTTTCGGTGCCAGAACCTGGTCCTTCCTTCCTCCACTCTTCACTAGGCAGAAGAACGGGAGAAGCCCCTCACCTGCCCTCAGCCCCTCAACACGCCCCGCCAGCTGCCCTGCCATCTTTAGATACTCCGGTGTACAGTGTGCCTGGACACGCCTCTCCCTTACACTCCATTCTTCACTGAAACATCTGTCCATGTAGCAGATCAGTGGCGTTTCCTCACTTTTGGCCGTCTTTCCTGGACACGCGGTTCCTCACACTGAACCTGAATGCAGATCCTCCTGATCGCTCACCTGAACATGGGGGGGTGGGGGGGGGCGGTGTTGTCCTAAGTATAACTGACTGCCGTGTAGCATCCCCACCCATCAAGAAGCTCTGGTCAGATGGGTGGGGGTCTCCCCAAAGAGGTCAATAAAGGTTATAACAAGTTAAAATAGGACGTGTCGGCAGGGATTGCGGCTAGAGGAAGATGGTGATGTCACCATGTTACTGTTAAATGCGGACATCAGATGTAGATGTTTCTCGAACAAGAATCCCAAAATAAAACCAAAAAATCAACAAACAAAAACTGCTGATGTCACCCCAGTGTCAGGAGCATATCGAGTTCAGGTGTGTAAAGGAGTGTTTCACTCCAGTGCCCGCCACATTCCTGGCCAGGTCCGTCTCTAAACAACCCAAAACATGACTGACCCCCCTGCTGCTGCCTCAGCGGGTGGGCAGGGGCAAGATTCTGTCAGCTGGCACGGAGACCCCGGTCAGGGCACAGAACTGTTCCTAATCGGGCATGCCAGCCGTTTACCAGCCACTCAGTAGCGCCCCCTACTGTCAAGGGCTCCACTGTCGTGTCACTTGCCATGGTGTGATGCCAATAATCTTCCAGGTCAGATTCCTATCGGGGATACAACTCGCTGGGTCGCGGGAGCTGGGTCATGAGATCGCTTCAGTGGGATAATATGCAAAAATAGATAATGTCGTAAGAATAATTTTGGACTGTAGGAATTGCTAGGCAACAGTGTTATAACCATATTAAGCGGGTGCCCAAGGTTAGAGAAAAAACCCTACTTATGCATATCAAACCTTAATCCCCTTCATTTAAACCATTCGGAAACAAATGATGGAATTTTGCCGATAAAATGTTTTTGATGTTTGTTCCTTTTTTGTACTGTACTTTGAACACAATTCTAATCGTTTCATCGGGCAAACACCAGAAATCAGGCTAATAATAAATCACAGAGTGTGTGTGTGTGTGTGTGTGTGTGGGGGGGGGGGTTATGTGTCTTTTTCATCCATCTCCTCATCTCCCATAACTGCTTATCCAGTTGTGCTGCACTGAGCCCAGAGCCCATCACTGGAAACCCATTACACAAGGCAGGGGACAGTCCACCACAGGGCACGCACATGCCAACCCAGAAGAGAGGATACCCAAACCCTCCACTCGAACCCACAACCCTGCCAACGTGAGGCCACAACGCTACCCAACGAGACTGCAAGAAACAGAGCATCACTCTGCATCCGAGGTCATGAAATATCGATTTGAATGAACAGAGAAATGAAAGTTGAAGCTTGTGATTTTCCTGGGGTGCAGAGCACTGTGTCCGACTGCATTACAGCATGTGGGATGGGTCCTGACAGCCTGGATGGGGTGTCCGCTTCATTGCCTGTCACGTACCACACGCAAACCCATTGCTCAGGTCCATCTCCGGCCCGTTCAAAGATGGCGGTTTCTGAGAAACAGACCTAAGCGACGCTGGACTGTCATAATTGTCCCTTTAGTGGGTCAGAATGAGTCCTCAGTTTTCATCACGCTCAGCCAGTCCTCATTACATTACTGGCCACCACCACTGACTGACAGATCCAGTCCCGATGGGAGAGAATCCATGTGCCGTCTATTCTGGCTGTGCCCTGGAAGAAAATGACTTCCCCCGATATTACGCTATGAGCTCTGCACCAGGAAAGCTACTGTGAAAATGACAAAATCATTATTACAAAGCTTGAAAAAAGTCACAACGCGGTGATTGAATTAGCAGCTTTGAATACTTACCCTTTCGTGCAGTAGTCTGTCAACTATTCCTGAATTTATATTGCATTTAATTTTATTGGTGAAGCTTAATATGATTCAGCATGAAATCTACATGACTCGCAATTCCATACTTCAGTACCCAAACCATTGAGTTCACGTCTACACCGTGTGTTGCTGTATTTCATTCAGAGTGGCTGTTTGCACAAGAATGTAATCACACCCTCATCTCCTAGACTTGGGACGGGGTAATTTCAGCCCCTATCAATAAAGCTGCTCTTAATGGTATGGAAATTTCGTCCATTTCCTAGAAAAAAGAGTATTTCTGGAACCATCCATGTGTGAAAGGAGATATATGATTATGAGCTCATATCTGTGCAGATTTCTCTACCCTGTTTTATTTGTCAATTGTTCAGGTCCCCTTAGTCCAGGAATGACATTAATGCTGTTTTTCTACGCAGCTCCATCCTGAGATTCAGAGCCCAGTCTTGGCTGTTACACGGACCCTTAATGTGGCTCCACGGCTCATCTGGAGATAACACTTCTCTTACGAGATCCTGGTGTCACCCCAACCTCTGCGTGGACACAGCCAGACATGCAGCAGATTGTTTGGAATGCAGGACATTTTCGTCCAGAGAAGGTCAAATTTCTCTGGCCGCCTGTAAGTCTCCCCTCCCCCCGGGGTCTAACAAGCCATCCATTTCATAAGTGCTCTTCAATCCAATCCATGGAGAAACATGAGGATGCTGCGTGGCTAAGCTAAGGGGGCAGTGTGTGGCTCAGTGGGCTGAGCCTGTGTGCCTCTAATCAGAAGGTCTCTGGTTCAAACCCACCCTCAGTATGTCTGTGGGTCCTTGAGCAAGGCCCTTAACCCCCAGCTCTCTGGGCGCCGCTACAGGTGGCTGCCTTTCATGGGCAGCTTACTCTACAAAGAGCAAGTTGAGGGAAACATGAAGCCAATTTTCCCACAGGGATCAATAAAGTATCAATTATTATTATTGTACCTGCGATCGGAAGGTTGCTGGATCAAATCACAGAGTCGGCAGAGTGATTTCACCTTCGGGTCCCTGAGCAAAGTCCTTAACCCCTAATTGCTCCAAGATCTCAAAATATACGTTGCTTTGGATAAAAGCATCTGTTAAATAAATAAAAATAAGATAAGCCTCATAAGCCATCAGAGAAGAACAAACTGTAATGTATCACCAGTCATTTCACAGGAGGCACCGTGAGTTATGCTTTTCATGGATTTAAACCCTACTGAGCCATGTATAATTGGACACTTTTTCTTCCTGGTGGGCAGAGCAGAGGGGGAGTATATGAGGGAAAAGAATACATGTTTTAAAATGATTGTAATTAAATCCAGGGACAGTAATGAGTTTAAGTAATCGACAATTACAGTTAATTAGCCGAACCAATCCCTCGCACTTCACCGCTTGCCCTTTGTCCAATTCCCAAGATGGGACAAGATGGATTTTCTCTGCAAACGCAGGCAGTCATTTTTAAGATTTCATTATGGTGGAAGAAAGGATTGTAGATGCAGTGTAGATTCAGGAGCAGGCATAAAGGAGGGGATCAGATGGAGTGAGAAAAGGGAGGTATGAAAGGCAGCCATCGGGAAGACGGAAAGCGGCAAGGTCACCTCTCTGTTTGATGTCTGACATTCCCCTCACAAAGAGCAAACATGCCTTCGGATTATATGTTATCTTAATTACTGAAATTTGCACTGGGAGACGCGTAGTCAAGCGAGACAATGCTTACGTCCAGTCCCTCCTGGCTGTGACAGAGTCATGTGACACAGCGTTTGCCAGCATTACAAATCACATGTTAAGCTACTTTTTTTTTTGCACGTTTGCATTAGTCTTACAGCTATATTGTGATCATTTTTTTTATTTGATGACTGGTGCAAAGTCCAGGGCCAAGTTGTGTTTTGTATCCGCTTCCTGCTATGATGGAGGAAAACAAAACACCGAAAAACGAAAAACGAACAAAACGAACAAAACAAAAGCCAGACCAACGAAAAACAAAACATAACAAAACACTTCCTATGTAGAGTCACCTCATTGCGACTGCCATGCCGTGAGTGTTTAAACTCCGGTTGGTCACACATCATTTAGTTTCAGCCAGTTATAGCAGAACAAAGGCGCACAGACATACTGCAGTGTCGTGAGAGTGTTCACAGAGACCGTCCAGCCGAGCCACAAACGCTGTTGCGAGAACATTGTCTGCGAGCTGCAATTGGCCCACTGACAATGTTCCCTCATCAACCTCTCATGCGTTTGCATATTTCAAGCAGTTGGTTTCACGCTCTAGTTTGGACGTGCGGGGGTCTGCGAGACTTTCCTGTTAAAAAGCTGTGAAAGGACACTCCATCTTTATAAAGCTGTCCTCTTATGATGGATGATCACTCGGATGCGCTAACAGATGCTTAAGTGGTA